ACCGGCAAAGGGGAGCAGCAAGGCAAAGCGAATAATCACTCCAATACTTGTCAGTACGCTCGAGACTTATTTTGAGAGGTCCATGTCTGACGCGTCGAGGGCCCAACCGCCTGGCAGACACAAACTTAGACAGCCGAGGCGAACCCTTCGGTTCCCGCAATGTTCCGCCAGATCTTTCGAGGGTCATATCTACACACAGAACTTCTCAACAGACTGGGCGGCTGCACAATTGAGGTGATTTGCTCACCCCTCCTTGCCCTCGGCCCCAAGAATGCTGCAGCCACTGCAGCCGCGATGCCAGCGCATTGGCGTGGTGCGCATGAGCCAGCGAGTTCTGTAGGGATCCGTCAAGCCCGTCCAGGGCGGCAATCCAACCGAAACCCGACAGAACTGAAAGCGAAACCGAAACTGACCGCAAACGACAGGCCGCAAACAGCCCAGGAGGACGCAACGACGCAGCCACCACACGACACGGGACCGACCGCACCCGACTGCGACGCGGCCGACCGACCGAACCGTGGACACCCTTGTCAGTCTAGCTGCTGGCAAGAGCTAGGCCGAGGTGGCAGAACCTCGAGCATGCTGGCCCATAGCGTGCCTCGGTGGCACGCGGCTCACGCCTCCGCGCTGCGTCGCCCACCCTGGAGCCCTGCGCTCTGGGCTGTGGCCTGGGATCCGACGCGGTGACCCAGCCTGGCGCGGCGACGTACGTACACTCTCCGAGGGACCCTTTTTTCCGCTGCGCAGTCCTACCATGTCCGTGCGAAGGCCGCTGTGCAATGCACGGTGCTGCGCAAAGCGGCACCTGCAAGGACCTCCCGACTGCCCGAGGCAGGCGTCTCCGATAGAGGGGGCGGAGGGGGCCCAGATCTCCGATGACTCGACCCCGCCGAGCCGCCGTCCAACGGAGCCGTCGAGCTCCTCTCCGGGGTCGGCCTCTCATCCCTGGGAACTTCTGGACGGTCTCCGGGCTCGGAAACGAGCCCCCTGGACGCCAGGACCGGCGACAGACGTCGGCGTGACCGGAGAGGCCTCTCAGGGCTGAAACGGGCCACCCGCGGGGAACTCCGCAACTTCGGTCCTCGAGGAAGGGGGACGAGGAAGGCAGGAGCAACCAACATCGAGTCGCGAAACTGGCTCGGGTCGGAACATGCGTCGAGTAGGGCTGCCTCGGCACTGGCTCAGAAATCGACTCGCCCGCGCTGGTATGCATAACAACGACATGCAAGCATCGGGCCACATCGGACCGTCGGAGGGCCGGACTCGAATCGGACCGTGCCTGTCGATTTCGCTACCGAATCGGATCGATCGGATCGAAGTGGACCCTGGCAAGGGCGGGGGGGAGGAGGCGGTGGAAAAACCGAGGGGCGGGGTGTGTGCCCTCCGCGCACGGGCACGGCTGCTCACTCGTCGTCCCACATCGCCTCGGCGCACTGGATCGCGGCGCCCAGGGGGATGCTGCGCTCCAGCTGGGGGAAGGGACGCTGGACAGCCTCCAGGCAGTCTTCGAGGTCCTGGGGGAGAAATGCAGATAAACACATCCTGCTGCTGCTGCTGCTGCTGCTCCTGCGTCTCCTTCCCTTCCTGCTGGCGCTCCCTCGCGCGCGCGGGGTAAGGAGAGAGGATGAGGGAGGAAACTGAGGGAGGGAACGGGGGAGATGCGTGCCACTTCGGGCGAGGTTCGCCCAGGCCTCGAGGCTACAAGCGCCCCCGCAGACCTCCCACACAAGGCGGGAGGCGCCGCCTATGAAACAGGGATGGTGGAATGACCCCCCCTGGCTCGGCTTACAGGGCCCCCCCCCGGCTGAAAAACAATGCGGGTATGCGGTGATCAGGACGCTCAGGGCCCCCTTCTGCACCCCCGTGGCAGTAGCGCCGCCTTTACAAGCGCGTTGGCATGCGTGATGCGGAGCTTGGGACACCTGTATTTTTTTTTGGGGGGGGAAACATGTTCGGCACCGCCCTGCGGCATCCCCCGCAGCGGCCCGCGGAGAACATGCGACAAGGCAGGTGCCGATTGTTCGCGGGGCCCTCTGAAAACGAGGGGTGCCAGCACCGGTGCGCCGCACGTTGGGCGCCGATGGAGATTCGGAGGTTGCCACGGAGGGGCGCCCCCAGGGCCACTGCGGGCCGCAAGGCCTCCTGCGGGTCGCTCCAGGCCTCCTGCGCTCGTCGGAACCCGTCGAACAGCGGGGCTGACTGTTCCTGGATCTGGTGAAAGGGTAGGCGCCGGTTGGTTGGCTCGCTGCTGGGGCGCGTGAGTGCTGGCGATGAGAATGGCTTTGCGGTCCCCTTGGTGCTGACTGTTCGCCGCAGTGAGATGGCGCGTCAGGTTTGCCTACTGTCCGTACGTTGGGTGGTACCGCTGGCGAGGTGGCCGTCATGCAGAGCCTCGCGCCCACCCCCGTCGGAACTCTGGTGGGCCGAATGAAGCGGCGGGTTGAGGAGGGGGTTCGGGGTAACCGCTGGGCTCTGACGCTCTTGGGCGGTCGTCGGCTGATTGAAAAAGAGAATCTGGCTGCGCGCGTCGGCGTGGTTCTCGACTGCGTTGTCTTCGCCTAGAACGTGACTTTGAGGAGAGAGGTCGTTAGGTACGTCGTCGTTTAGCGAAGCTCCGAGCCCGAGAGGGTCGAGTTCCTCCCCTTCATGGTCGTCTGGTGGTGGCGACCAGGGGTTGTCAAGTTCGTCGAAGTGGCGCGGGCCTGGTGGACCGCCCAGCGGAGGTGGTCCTCCTTGAACACGCGTGCCCTGCCCCCCCTGCCAGATGGTGAGCGAGTTCGACGTCATTTTACAAAGCTCGGACCAGGAATGCCCGGCTATCCTGTGAGGCAAGGGAAGCGTCCGATGTCGCCGGTCGTATGTGGCGACGGTCGTGCCATGGGGGGCAGCGGCAAACTTGCGTTGTCATTTGGCAGCGTCGACCTGCCCTCTGGGACACTGTGGGGCCGTGCCCCCGCCGTCGCCGTGGCGAGTTCGTCAGCGTGGCGGTCGAAGGCTTCAAGTATAGGAATGATGTGCCCTTCGTTGATGCCTTGCTCGCCCAATGATTTTCGGGTGGATTTCCTGTCGGAGGTCCGCGTGGGACCCCTCGCGCTGCGGTGGTTTGCCAATGAGACGGCATTCGAATCCGTCAACGACCGCCTGGTTGTCGACGAACGCGCGCACTAGTCGTTCAGCCGTGGCGACAAGGTAGGGCATGGCAACCGTTTCGGTTCGCTTCGCGGACTGCGCGAGACCATGCAGCTGGGCAGAATGGTGAAGCCAGTGGTCTGGTCCGTAGCGCACGCCGAAGCGCGCTCTGGCCGTGGAGGGTGGGCCGAGTGAGTGCAGGCGCCGTCCGTGGCAGCAGAGACCCATCGAGCTCCCTGGTCGTCGGTATGGTCAAGATACGGGCTCCCTTCTGAATCCTCTGGCGGCGGTCTCGGGATGGGCTGCGGGAGCTCGTCCTCGGCCAGGGCAGACTGTGGGTCGAGGAGGCCGAGGTCTTCTTCAAGCAAACCACGATGTCTGGGGCTGCCCACGGTTATATCATGTTCCCTGTTCATTGCTGGCCTGTCCAACCTCGTTGGCCCCCTGGGTACAATCGACTGCAATGTGACCCTTTTGTCCGCGCTTGTTACGTCGGCGCTCACTCGTGTGCGCGTGGCCCCTGCAACCTGGTCACCCCCCCGGTTGTCCTGACTGCTTGCCCAATCCCTTGTAGTTACCGTAGTAACCCTTGGAATAGCCCTTTGGCCAGCTTGGGTTTCCTTTTCCTTTGCCGCGGTTCTAGCCTTTACCTTTGACTCTGCAGCCCCTTGTCATGTGGCCCCGTTTGCCGCACTTGTAACATGTGACCTTGCCTTTGCCTTTATTGACTGCGTCCGCAACTCCTTCGCCCCGGGCTTGGTCGCGATTCCGACCCTGGTTGCCTTCTTCGTCCAGGGGCCACCAGTTGCCTTCTTCATCGAATTCTGCGTGGTAACTTTCCCGGTGGGCGGCCCATGGTTCAAGGCGCTCTTTCTCTTCCCCGACTCCCCCGATGCCCATGGCATCGCTGATCTTGATGTTAGCGCCCAATTTCTTCCCCGAGCCCAATCCTCGCGTCGCGAACGCAGCTTCTGATGTGATTCGCTCATTAGTGGGCTGGGTGACTTAAGCAGTCTTGCTGCCACCCATCGAACCACTCCCAGACGGGTGCCATTATGATTTACAGGGCCGTTATCTGACGCGGTAAGGGTCGCTCGTCGGATTTACAGCACGTCGAGGTTGTCCACTAATGCACTCACTCCACTGCTCGTGCTGGGCCGATGTGTCACTGATCTTCCTGGGTCAGTCGGGGTTCATGGCTGAGCTCTTCTTAGCCGATAGGGTTGCCCCCGCTAATGCAGGGTATCTCTTGTAGGTGTTCATGTAGTCCGCCCCCATCATAAGGTCGTGTAGCTTGCCCAGTGCCTCCAACATTTCAAATTCTTCTGTTAGGATGTGTCATAGGTCCTCGCACTCGTCCGCAACGTTCTTATCATCGCGCTTGTCTTCTTCCCGCTTCCTTTCTGGCGGTGCCTTGTCGTTCTCCGCTGCTGTCATTCTCCCGCTCAGCATTCTTATTGCGTGACCTTTCCCGCTCGGATCTGGCGGAGTTGTTGGGATCAATAAATTGATGGCCGTGCGGCTCCCAAGTGTTAGTTTGTGTGCCGTGGCGTTTTGTAGTCGGTCGTTCCACTCTCGGAATTGCGTCTGCTTTTCAATGATTGGGTTGCCTTCGATTCGCTCGCGGGCTTCGATGGGGCTCGCGCTTGTCAGATCCCACCTTTTCAGCTCTCTGGGTGGAGGGCGCTGTTCGTGTTCTTCTCTACTGCTCTTTTCATTTAGGCTACTCGCACCGCCGCTTGCGAGGTATCTGCCTCGCGCTTGTTTTCGCGACTGACGATGTTCAGTAACGCTGCTTTAGATTTTCCAAACGCCTTCGTCAGCAACATCGCGTGCTCGTTGGGCAAGTCTCGTGGCCCGTGCGATCTCGCTCTTCGAGGTTGTTCGCCGTCGCCAGCTGGGCGGCTTGACCGGCGGCGCGCCTCTGAATGTCTCCCAGATCCTCTTCTGACAATCTTCACGCTCAAGGCTGGTCTGCGTTCGCAGAGGGCCTCGGATCGCAGTGGGCGCGGTGAAAACCTGCCGGGCCAGGAAACGAAGATGCGGTCGGAGGCGGACGCGTGTCGGCGGCACCCGTCGCAGCGAGTGTGCTCCGTCGGGTCTTGCGCCGCTCGCTGGCTGGAGATCTGCTGCCGGGGGTTGAGCAGGGGCCGACCGCCCCGGCATTCCTGTAGTCCTGCCGCGAAATGTTCTTAGAACCCAAGAATGTTCTGAGAACAAAAACAAGGTTCTTAAAACCTCTTTTATCGACTACACGCAAGAGTGACCCTGGGTAAGAGTGACCCTTGGTGCGCGGCTTTTGGGGGGGCCGCGGGGGGACCAAACACAAGCGCGCAAGGCGCTACTATCGCATCGCGTTTGGCGACCTGGGGAACCCATTGGGCCCGCGCCAAAGGTCACTCTGGCGAAAGGTCACTCTTACGTCTAGTCGATCTTAGTGGGGCTATAGACGAGCCGGGACGCTTCGCCACTGCTTGAATGGGGGGGCGCCGCGCGCGCCCCCCCTCGGGGGCGGCGGCGGCTTCCCCGCCGGCCGCGTCGGGCGGGGCTCTCCTGGCCGCGGGGTGCCCCCCCCCCCCCCCCCCCCCATGTGTTGGCGAGCCGTCCGCCGCCGCAGCTGCAGCGGGCTCGGGATCTGGCGCAGCCCGTCGCACGTCTGCGTAGATGCTGTCATGAATACTGAAGGGGCCCCAGGACACGCAAGTAGATGCCCACACATAAAAAGATCCCCCATCCTTTCCCTATGTTCTCTGGGTTCTCGTCTTCCCCCCCGATTCCCAGATTGTCCCGTCTCTTCCTGGGGGTCGACGATTCCTTGTGTCTGTGTGTGTGTGTTTTTCCCCTCCTGATACATGTCGAACACCATCTGGGGAAGCATCCTGGTCCTGCTCGCGCATGTCCTGATGGGTGGTGAAGCGAGCAGCGGCGGCGTCGGAGCCCGGGGCCGGACCTCGGCAGACCACTGCGCGGGGCGCGCGCGCCCGCGCGCCGGCGCCGACGCAGCCGCGGAGGCCCCGCTTCCAGGGGGGCGAGACAGGCCCGGAAAAATAATGGAGTCACGCCACCTGTGTTCCACTCGGCGGAGAAGAAAGAACACTCGGCTTGTAATCCCGAGGAAGCTGCACAGGAGCCCCGAAGCGTCAAAATCGCGGCCGCTGCCCCCCCCCGGAGGGCAATGGGCCGAAGCCCTCGGAACATGTCTTGGATATGGCGTAGCTTCGTGGACCGCGCGATGGGGTCATCCAAGTAGCCGGCCCGAGCCCTGGAAGAGCATGGCCATTAGTCAGCGTGAAACAATCGTTCAACGCACCACCTAGCATGCGCGGCAGGAGAGGGGCTCGACGCAGATGAGTCCGATGCAACAACCCTTTTGGCTTCTTCCCACTCGGTGCGCGGTTTGTCCGATGGCTCGGGGGTGTTTCGGAGGATTCCGATCTGCGCTGATGTTGCCCGATGGCTTGTCCGCGTGCACTTCGGCGTCCGGGGCGAAGGAAGATAGCATTTTCCGACCCTGTTTCGCAGCGAGTTCGCGGCGGATCTGGAACGTATTCTTGTCGTTAGAGACATGTGAGTCGGCGAGCTCGCCAGCGGGAGCGTGGGCCTGCTGACGTCTAAGAGGTCCGACGGGAATGCGCATGGCACTCGGCGCCTGGGAGATGCGGCGAGAGGTCTAGCCCTCGGCGCCATTGGTGCGGATGAGGATCCTCTTGGCAGCAGGATCCCCGTCGAGCTTCCAGCAACTGTCCTCGAACATGACGTCCTGTAGCCACGGTGGCACCGCGGTCTCCACTGACTCCTCGGTGGCGAGCTGGTTCGCGCGGATGACGATGATGCACGGGTCGGTCCTGCGCCCGAAACTGCGGTTGGGATTGGTCGGCGTCGCAGGCTCGGAGGTTTGATCGATGTGCTGAGCTGCCTTGAGCTGCTTGATATCTTGGGCCATGCTGTCCATGCGCTGCATCTGGGTGTGCTGCGAGGCCTCAATCCTCGCGAGCCGCTGCTCGACCTGCTGGCTGAGGCCGTCGCAGCCGGCGCTGACGGAGCGCTGCAACTTGAGCATGGTCTGCTGCGTGGCGGACATCGCGGACATGATGGCCGAGTTTTACTGAGCAGCATACGGCGTGGATCGGCATCAGCAGAGGGGGGATCAGGAGCCGACGGGCGCTCCTGAGAGGGGAAAGCCGCGAACATCTCGATGTCTACCTCGAGGTCGGCGTCCGTTGGCAGCAGGTTGACTGGGCGCTGTCGCCTGTTGCCAGCCTTGCCCTTGCCATTCGAAGCCACCAGTTTTTGGGAGCGAGAGCGCTCTCGGCGAGAGCCATCATGGGAGGGGGGCGTGAAGGAAAGGGAAGGTGTCCGCCAGCCTTGGACAGCTGGATTGCTCGAAAGAGAGCTGCCAACTCAACCCCGGGCCTGTCCCGAACCTTAAGCCAAAATGGCAGCGGATCGCTCCCTGTCCTCCTCCTCCTCCTCCTCCTCCTCCTCCTCCTCCTCCTCCTCCCCGTCCTCTCCTCCCCCATCTCCCCGACATCCTCCATCCTACCTTATCTTCCTCCTCCTCCACCTCCTCTTCGTTTTCCTCCTCCTCCTCTTCTTCTTCGTCTTCCTTCCTCCCTCCCTCCCCCTTCCTCCCCCCCCTCTCGCCTTCTCATTTCTGCTTCCTCCTCCCTCCCTGCGTCCCCCCCTCTCTCCTCCTCCACCTCCCCCCCCTCCATCTTCTCTTTTTCGTTCTTCTCCTGTTCTTCTTCCCCCTTCTCCTCCCCCCCACCCCCCCTCCTCCTCCGTAGCCACTCTGGCTCGGGCCTCCTTGGCCCAGGCCTGCCCGGCCGCGGGCGTGGCGCGCGGCGCGGCCCGAGACGAAGGCTCAAACGATGGTTGGCTCTCTGGGGCCCGCGCCCGAGCAACAGAGGAGCGGCGGTGGCCCGGCAGCGCGGCTCCTCGCTGCGGCCCGCGCCGCGATCCTCGCGAAGGGCCCTCCCCCAGAGGGCGACGGGCACCCCGGCGAGCGCGCCCGCGGCGGACCGCCCCAGCATTCGGCCGGGGAGCCCGAGAGGGTGGTGGCGGACGCGGGCAGGAGCTGGTGGAGGCGCTGCGCGACGCTCGGCGGCTTCGTCGCTAGCGCTAGCGCGAGCGCGCGCATCGGCGGGGGCGGGCGCTCATCTGCGCGGGCGAGCACGGCCATGCGATGGCGCTAGACGGCGGTGCGGGCGGGGAGCTGCCCGGCGAAAGCTGGGCTGACAGCCTCATGAAGGCGGCCCCTTCGGCGGTTCTGGCGATGGCGGTCGGGGCCCCCGCAGCTGCGCGGAGGCGGCGGCGGCGCGGCAGGCGACGGTGGCCGCGGAGGTGGGGCCTAGGCCTGGTGGCGCCTCGGCATTGGCGGGCGAAGGATTGGCGGAGCCTGGCGTCGCGGACGGGGAGCTGCCCGACGACAGCTGGGCTGACAGTCTCATGAAGGCGGCCCCTTCGGCGATTCTGGCGATGGCGGTCGGGCACCCCGCGGCCGTGCGGAGGCGGCGGTGGCGCGGCAGGCGACGGTGGCGCCTGGGCCTGGCGGTGCCTCGGCATTGGCGGGGGAAGGATTGGCTGAGCCTGGGCACGGCGCAGTTGTGGTGGCGGGGGCGGCGGCGCAGGAGCTCGAGGCCGTTGAGTACTTCGACCTGAAGCTCAAGGGCATTCCCCCTGGCTGCAGGAAGTATTTCGAGGCCGACCTGGCGAAGCGCGCGGCGGCGGCCTGCAGCGCTCGTGTGGGAGCCGTTCGAGGCAGGGCGGCGGCCGCAGATGTGGAGCGGCGGGGGGAGGGCGATGATGCCCTATCGGGCCGTCCTCCGTCCCCGCCCTCCCCTTCACGGCCCACGCCAGGCCTACTGGGGCGCCCGCGGGTACCTTCCTCTCCTGGAACTGATCCTTTCCTATGATATCCTGCCCTAGCCTATCCTCCTCTATCCTAACGGCGAACACGAAGAAGAGCCGGAGGAGGAGGCGGAGGAGGAAAAGGAGGAGGATGAGGAGGAGGAGGAAGAGGAGGAGACGGAGGAGACGGAGGAGACGGAGGAGGAGGAGGAGGAGGAGGAGGAGGAGGAGGAGGAGGATGAGGAGGAGGAGGAGGAGGAGGAGGAGGAGGTTGACCGCGAAGACGACGACGAGGCCCACGACGACGACGACGACGACGACGACCACCGCGACGGCCACGACCACGACGACGTCCACGACGGCAGCGGCGGCGGGGAGGACGAGGCAGGTCCTCCAACTCGCCCTGGCTCACCTCGCGCACGGGGGCCGCGTGCCTGGCGCGCGACAGCTGCAGCGGTCCGGCGTCCTCGAAGCTCTCGGGGAGCCTGGCCGCAGGAGGGCGGGGGAGGGAGAGAGAGGACGGGCGGGAGGATGAACAGATGGATGGAGGGAGGGATGATTAGGGGGGTCGAGGAGGAGCGAGGGGGGGAGGGAGCAGGAAGGATGATGGTGGCGGGAAGGTGGGCGAGAAAGTTGGGGTGGAGCGGAGAGGCGGGGGGTGGGACAGGGGGAGGGAAGGTGGGGGTGAGGAGAAACTGGAGGAGGATAATGAACTTCACGATACCAACTGAGAAAGAGATGATGCTGATGATGCTGCTGATGATGCTGATGATGATGATGATGCTGATGATGATGATGATGATGGTGATGATTATGCTGATGATGAGGATGCTGATGATGATGCTGATTATGATGCTGATGCTGCTGATGATGATGCTGATGAGGACGATGCTGATGATGCTTATGACGATGATGATGATGATGATGATGATGATGATGGTGATGATGATGAGGAGGAGGAGGAGCAGGAGGAGGAGGAGGAGGATGAGGATGAGGAGGAGGAGAAGGAGGAGGAGGAGGAGGAGGAGGAGGATGAGGATGAGGATGAGGATGCGGAAGGGAGCTGGATCAGAAGCAGCTGCAGCTCGAGGAGGAAAGGAAGCTGGGAGGAGGAGGAGGAGGAGGAGGAGGAGGAGGAGGAGGAGGAGGGATGAGCTGGAATAACAGGCGGATCCAGGAGCAAGGAGTGGTAGGCTGATGATGACGAAGCTGATGAGGGAGACGAGGAGGAGGAGGAGAGGAGGAGGAGGAGGAGGAGGAGGATGAGGAGTGAGGAGGAGGAGGAGGAGGAGGAGGAGGAGGAGGAGGAGGAGTGGGAGGAGGAGGAGGAGTGGGAGGAGGAGGAGGAGGAGGAGGCGGAGGAGGAGGAGGAGGAGGAGGAGGAGGAGGAGGAGGTGGAGCGCTTTGAGGAGGAGGAGTAGGAGGATGATGATGAGGAGGGGGAGGAGACGGAGGAGGAGGAGGAGGAGGCGGAGGAGAAGGATGAGTTTTGTTTCGGAGCTGCTCAGGCGCCTCCAAGGCCAGCTAATGTTAGCCTGGCAACAGGTCTGCAACTGCGGAGGGAGCAGCAGCAGCCTGCGGGCACCCAGACCTGGGGGGATCGGGCGCCGAAGAGAAGTGAGAAGGGGCAGTCTGATTGAAGAGTGACCCCCAGCCAAAAGGTCTACAAGACCTCTGGCGGGCTGAGACGAATCCTTGCGCTGCAACTGCCAGTCGGGGTCGTCAGGTTCCGCGGAGTTTGTGGCAGCGACGAGCGGACGGTTGCCTTCCTCTTCGCGGAGGGATGAGACCACCCGCAGGAGCTGCCGCTTGCCGCCAGACGCGCAAGGAGTGCTGACTGCGGCTCCGACGCGAAGGTGCGGCAGGGGCGCCTCCTGAAGGTACAGCGCCGCTCCCGCCCCGAACAGAACCGCCGAGAGGATGCAGCAGCGGGGGCGCCTCCCGAAGGTACAGCGCCTCGCCCGCCCGCAATAGAGACCTCGTGACAGGCAGGAGCAGCCTCTGGCTGGCTTCCTGGGAAAAACGCGTGAAGACACTGCGTGCATTCGTCAATGCCCACTGTGACCCCCGCGCTGCCACGGGGATGCTGGCCTTTTACGCATGGCGAGCCAACCGTGGTGAGCAGCACGGAGAGGAGGAGGGGGAGGAGTGCACCGGGTCCCGTAGCCATCGTGGCTCAAAGGCCATCGGGGGCCCGAACCGCGGTCCCCCCCGCCGGGGGACCGCCGCGTGGCGGGCCGGCCCCAGCCCGTGAGCCGACAGCAACAAAGCGGGTCATCAACAGTGATATCTACGGTCTCCTCGAGTACGGGCCCCACCTCGCGACTCCAGGAACTGGAGCCCTTGTGCGGCGGCGGTGGCCGAGGAGCCCGCATCGCGGGCCAAGAAAAAAGACAGTTGAGAATGAAACGAGTGGCGGTACGACAAGCCTTGGTGGCCACGTCCGGTCTAACTATATACCCACATTGGGCCGCAGCCACCCCAGCGCCCAGCCTATGGGGCAGATCTGGAACCTCAAATGTCTCTGCTACGACAGCTAGCGGAAGCAGTACGCCGAACCGAAAATGACGGGCAGACTATACAGCAATCAACATGCCCAATATTCACTATGAATGCTCCCGAGTTCGTCCCTAGCCTCCTGCAGTGTTGGACGGAAGCCAGCATAGCGCCAGACGTCATCAGCTACGATACTAGCTGCGAGCAAAGCCAGTGGCAGCAACAGCAGGCGTACAGACGGGCTTACACACAACACGGCAGACAGCAGATGTGCAGACAGCGTAGCAAACCCTGACTTTCTTGTTCTGTGCAGGGGGGGATGTAGTGGCGCGTCAAGAGGTGGCTCAAAAAGTGGTGCATCAATAAGGGAGCGGGCTCCGGGGTGGCGCTCACAAGCACGAGCCCGACGCCATCCGACGGCGACAGCGACGAGGGAAGTGGGGCGAAGCACGAGGCCAACGTCGTCAGCTAGGGGGGAGGTCATATGAAGCACGAGCCCGACGCAATCAGCTACGAGTGGTACAGCGAAGCACGAGTCCGATGCCATCAGCTACGTCGGTGGGGCCTCGAAGCACGAGCCCGACGTCATCATTTTCAGTGTTGGGGCCGGTCCAATCGTGCGAGTAGGGCTGGCAGTGGTGCGAGAAGGGCCAGCAGTGGTGCGAGAAGAAGGGCGGGCAGTGGTGCGAGAAGGGCGGGCAGAGGTGCGAGAAATGCCAGCGGTGGTGCAAGATGGGCCGGCAGTAGCGCGAGAAAGGCCAGCAGTGGTGCGACAAAGGCCGGCAGCGGTGCGAGAAGGGCCGGCAATGGTGCTAGAAGGTCCGGCGATGGTGCGAGAAAGGCCTGCAGATGGGGCAGTGGCGGCAGAGGCTGCAAAAGGTCATCAACTGCAGGCTGGCACTCGGAACACCGTGTCCGAACCATGTTTAGAGTCCTAGTAGGTTTGTCCACCGCCCGCTATGTATGTTTACTCATTCGTCCATGCTACGCGGACATCACGAGGAGCAGAAGAGACGAGGAGGAATACCAGACGCCATCATCTGCATACGTGGGCCAGCGTGTGCGAGAAATGGCGGCAGTGGCTGTGCGAGAAGGGAGGGCAGCTCAGGCAGGCATTGGCAGCAGTGGGAGAAAGGCAGTGGCGGCGACAAGCTGCAAGCCCGACGTCAGCAGCCACAAGGTTGTCAACACGAAGTACGAGCCCGACGTCATCAGCTACGACGATGGTGACGCGCAACACGCTACGATGGTGGCGCTGAGAAACACAACCCCCATACCATCAGTCACGAGAGTGGTACAGCGAGCACGATCCCGACGCCATCAACTACGAGGGTTGTTTCGCGAACCACGAGCCCGACGCCGTCACCTACGAGGGAGGTGATGCGAAGTACGACCCCGACGTCGTCAGCTACGATGGTGGTGTCGCGAAGCACGAGCCCGACGCCATCAATTGCGAAGATGTTTTCGCCAACCGCGAGCCCTACCTCATCAGCTACGCGGGTGGCGGCACAAAGAACAAGCCCGATGCCATCAGCTTTCAGGGTTGTGGCGCGAAGCACAAGCTCGACGTCGTCGCTTCGAGGGCGAGCACGCGGGCCCAGCAGAGGAGGTCAGAGCGGCCGCGGCCAGAACGGCGATCGAGGACACGCACGCCATGTACCACCCCATCCTCGAGCAGATCGAAGCGGAGATGGTCCACATCACCAGCCAGCTGGAGCACTACGGGGACACGCAGGCGCGTTGGGAATGGGCCCAACAACGGGGTCCGAAGTACCACGCAGAGGACGGTTGTGGAGCCGAGCCGCGAGGCAAGAGCCCGGCGCCATCAACTACGAGAGTAGGGGCGGCAGTGGCAGCTCAGAGGCAATACAGCGGGTGCACTGTGCGAGAATTGACGGCAACGGCAGCTCGGCTGTTAAAGAGGGGGCGGCAGTGGCAGCAGTGGTGCTATGAGAGAGGGGACGACAGTGGCTGGGCCGCTCGAGGGTCACGACGAGGTCGAGGAGAGCGACGGGGAGCCCGCGCAGGAGCGCTTTTGGGAGGAGGAGGAGGACGAGATGTCGACGGATGAGACAGAAGACGAAGATGAGATCTCCAAGACTTCATCAGCTTCCAGGGAGATCCGGCCAGTCTACGGAGGGAACCTCGATTACGACGTGGACTGGCGCATTCTCGAAGACCCTATGAGACAGGCGGGCACCGTACAGTGCCAGAATGTGCACCCCGAGGACGTACAGACTATGGCAGGCCACTCGGCCACGGACGCGTGCATTTCTCCTCCAGCGAGGAGGCCAAGAAGGCCATCGTCACCTTCGACAAGGCGGAGCTTGTGGTCCGTGGGATCCGAGTCAGGTGGTGGGGAAAGAAACACAAATTGCTGCCCTGGGAGACTGCGCCGGCACGAAGATGCACATCATCAGCTACACCCCGGACCACCGCGTGCGACAAGAATGTCAGAACGGCGGCGGCCGCAAGGTGGGGCCCTGAGCCCCTGCGATGCGGCGGCGGCTGTTGTGGGGATGCTTCGTAGTTTGAAGGTGAGAGGGAGAGAGAGAGAGAGAGAGAGAGAGAGAAAAACAAAAAGAGAAAGAAGGAAAGGAAGAGAACGCATCTGGTCGATAAGCCCCTGACGAGGACTCCCGAGCTGTGGTGCCTGCACCTCAAGCAGATAAACAGCACGGAGCGGTCGGTGCAGTCGAAAGCCACCGTGCGATGGCCAAAAGAGTCTTGGCGTGAGGCGTGCAATTTGGAGTCCTTCGGACAGACGCCCGCAGGAGGCCTGGAAAAAACACGCTACCTTCGGAAACGCGCCGAACACCTCCACACCCCAAACCACCAGGCCCATCTGTGCCCCTCGTGAGCGGGAACCAGGGCTGGAGACTCCCTGTCAGCTGCGCTGAGGTCGACATCCGGTTGCCTGTGCAAAACGCCTGCTGCCAGCTTTAAGTTGCCCCTAGCTCGAGCGACGTTGGCGTCCGCTGCGTCTAGT